ATGAGGGGTCCTTGGTGCTCTCTGAGCTTCCTTGTTTTCTTGCAGAGTTTTATTACCCTAACTAGGTGACATCACTAGCACTGATGGTATTATCTAGTTAGGTAATGAAATGTCTGCAAGAAAGCAAGCAAGCTCAGAGAGCACTAAGGACCCCTCCTTTCAACGCTGAGCTACAAATATTCTCCTTCAAAGTATATAAAAACTTGGACATCTTGGGCATTAGGGTACTGTGAACTCTTAATCAGGGGTTCACAATAGGTGTCATTTCTCCCATTTCTGGTTAAAGGACAAGAGATCCTGTTGAGCTGAAACAAATCATGCCTGCCCTCGCTATCCTTTGCCCTTCTGAACTCTGTCCAGGCAGTGCTGTGTTTACTCAGCGTAGGCTGCTTCTGCATTGCCAGAGCTTGTCTGGCATTTCTGTTGCCTGAAACCCTATAACTTTAATAAGATATAAACTGTGTCGCGTCTATCTGCCATTGCTCGGCAACTCTTCAATAATGGCCCAAACAAAGCTCTTGCCATGTGCAAGCAACCCTAATTCCAACTGTAGGATAATTCTGCTTCCGAGGCTGCTAATATCCTCCATAGTTAGCAGTCCTGTCATGTTAGGTTGTTATTTTACTTGTAGCAACAAGCAGGATATCTAGGCTGTGCGTAAATGACTCCTTTTCACAATCGTATTCAAGTCTAGGAACTGAGGGGTTATTTCTATGCCCGCTTTGAGTGTCTTTTTATAACAGGGTCTCCAAACTTGGCAACTTTAAGACTTGTGGACTTCAACTCCCAGAATACCTCAGCCAGCATAACATAGCATAGAATTCTGGGAGTTGAAGTCTACAAGTTGCCAAGTTTGGGGACCCCTGTTTTATAATGTTCCATGACCAAATGTGTACTTGTTTTTAACTAATCTTTTAATGACATAACGGACGGACGATCATTTGTATAAATCCCTCTTGAAATGCTACAGTACAGATAGTCCTTGACTTGCGACCACAATTGAGCCCAATTGTGCTGAGGGAGACATTTGTTAGGTGAGTTTGCCCCATTTTATGACTTTTCGTAAAATGTTGTTAAGTGAATCATTGCCATTGTTAAGTTAGTATGACCCTGGGACCCTGTAACCATCATAAATATGAGCCAGTTGCCAAGCATCTGAATTTTAATCATGTGATCATTTACTTTGCTGCAACCGTCATAAGTGTGAAAAACCGCCATAAGTCACCTTTTTCAGTGTTGTTGTAACTTTGAAAGGTCACTAAATGAACTCCTGCTCTGTATCATAGGATTCTCACCTCACACTGGTTTTAACATGCATGCCAGAAAACAGACATGAAAAACAGTCAGTCGTGTTCTTAAATGTGATGAAAAGCTCAGGTTCTCAAATTCAAAATGAAAATTCTGGATGAGAAGTGAAATGTTTTCTTCTTCCTCCTCCAGAAAAAAAATAGCCCAGGTGCCTATGGAAGGTGGGGGGAAACATATCTGAGACAGCCATGACCTGGATGAGTGAGAATCTCCACAGACATTTACAACATTGCCATGTTGCTAATATTTTCCAGCAGAGATATTTGTTCTGTAACTTCGGACTGAGAATGCTGGTGTCATATCAAATAAATGAAATAAATAAGATAAGAGCAATGCTCTCTGCTTCTTTGGGACTCTGATTTTATCCCTTCAGCAATGATAGAAGCAGTGGTGGGATTCAGTTTTTTTTTTTCTTCAGTTTTGTGGACGTGGCTTGGTGGGCGTGGTGTGGCTTGGTGGGCATTGCAGGGGAAGGATACTGCAAAATCCCCATTCCCTCCCCACTCCTGGGGGAAGGTTATTGCAAAATCCCCATTCCCTCCCCATCCCACTAACCTGCTTTCCAGCTCCGTTCTCCTGTGCAGGGCAAGAAAAGAAGTCCCAGCCGATCAGCTGGGACTCAGGAGGCAGAGAATAGATAGGGGCGGGGCCAACCAGAAGTAGTATTTGTCAGTTCTCTGAACTACTCAAAATGTCCGCTAACGGTTCTCCAGAACTGGTCAGAACCTGCTGAATACCACCTCTGGATAGCAAGATTTTACGTACAGTATATACATACATGTTTATATATATTTGGCAATGACGAAACAGCTAGAAAACCTCTCTATTTTAGACGGCAGTTCCCTCCCTTCCAGTCACAATGCCCAATGATCCTTCTGCTTCTTGATTTGATTCCTCTTGAGTTTTGGATATTATGAGCAAAAGCAAACACCTCCTTTCCCCTGGAAATATTTAGTGAAATCTGACATGCCTGATAATTATTTCCGCAGTTCTCTTATAGGGGTTTGTTTTGACAGTCATAATTGAGAGTTAAATTAGCATCCCTTGAAGTTTCATACTGTCAGGCAGACATGAGTCAATCAGAAGGGATATGTTGAAAGTTGCCAGGCAACTCCACATACTTAAACAGGTCCAGGGAATTCAAAACAATAAAACAGAACCTGTTTTCTGTGTGGATTTGCAAGTGGGTTTCGCCCATTCTTCTGTGTCCAGAGAAAGGTATCTTGGTTGTTGAATTTGTTTGGGCTTTTCAAATGTCTGTTGCTTGGAATTGTAGAAAGATATACTGTTCCCTACTCCTTAGTTAACAACAATGCACTCAAAAACCATCTTGGAAATGATTGTGTCGCATATGTTCCAGTGCAATTATTCCAAATGGATTGTCATATTCTTACTCTGTGAAGATGCTCATAGTGCCATTGTTAATTTATTCTGCAATTTAGGATGCTGTGACTCTGTGCTAAATTTCCTTTTCTAGCGAGTAGCTTGATTAGAGGAATTTGCCATTGTATACAGTACATTCCCCTATCAGCTTTATTTTGCTGTTCATCTTCAATACATTCATCAAGCTTCATTTTCCCAACTGCCCCCATTTAATTCTGTGAAGATGCCACATCTGATTTGCTGTCTGAAATGCAGGCCTGTGACTTAAGAGGAATGCATTGGCAGCACCTGCATACTAATGGAATACGCTCTTTCCCCTCAAACCTGAAATGGTAAGTCAGCAGGCTGTAACTCTGACTATAATTAATCCATCATTTATCCTATCCATACTCGTGTTAATCATGAATTCCACACTAAATACCCCATGCTCCCCCCACAGCCCATTTCTATGTATTGGGTACTATACTAGTACAGATGCAAAAGGGGGGCGACGATGAAGGGAAGAAATTGCAGCTGTCTCTAGTTCTGCTTGTTGGAGTTTTTCGAAGGTAAACATGTTTTCTTCTGCTTGCAACCTAGCAACTCTATGGCCATTGGGTAAATGAGATGGTAGCGTAAGCTATTCTTGTAGCCTGAGAATCTTTTGCATGGAAGCAGAGAATGCCTTTTCTGTTTGCCTGAGGCACTGCCTTTCCAACTCATACTAGGATCAGTCGTCCCAGATCAGGAAAGGGTAAGGGGAACACTTCAGTGTTCGGGAAAAGGGATGTATTTATATTTCTGGTTGTCTTCCCTAACTAACCTTTGTAGAAATCTCTGAGTGGGTCCTGCAGTCAGGTGTGCCCCTCCCTTCCTTCCTTCCCTCCCTCCTTTGATGGGGTGAGGAGGTGCATGAGATCAGGACCAGGTATTGATTTGTATACTTTTAGAACCATTAAAGAGAACTGCCCCATTAGAGTTTCCAGACTGCAACTATAAATAAATAAACGCTCCAAATAATAAACGGTTGAGGGCCTAACTCCATCATTGTTGAGTCTATAACTTTTTTCTTTTTATATATAAAACACATTGAACATTTCTACAGGATAAAAAAAAATTATCTTGATTTTAAATTCCTTCCAATATCATCGTAGTCATGGAACAAATTGGAAAGAGCTACGTGTCCCGTCCCTCCCCTTATCTGTAGTTGGCTTCCTTCTCTCTCTGCCTTTCTGTAACCTTGCTTCATCCACAGCTGCCTTTCTCTGACAGCAGAATGATAGATGTGCTTTGCTCCAGAGGGCAGAAGGCCACCAGCTCGGAAGGACGGCGTATGCCACTGATCAGCCTATTCAGTGGACGCACTGAGCCATGGCACTAGGAGGATTTCATCAGCCTTTAATGCATTAACCTTTCGTTAGGCACAGCAACCCTTGCCTGTGCCTTGCTCTCTGCCTAGACTATTCATCTCATTGCCTGGGTATGCCATGTGACTTGACATCATGAAGAATCCCCTTTTGTCGCTACCTGGAGAGCATTTAATACATTCATGCAACTTTAATGCTAGTGAATCCTCCATTTCCTTTTCTGTATAGATCAGTGCAATGGACACAAATGTGAAGCTGGCTTGGTTATTTGGTGCTAAAGAAACCTGCTAAGCTCCTTCTCTGTTCCCAGTCCTCAGAGGACTGTGCATTTTGAGTATATACCATACTCAAAAAAGTATATTCTAATAGGAGGGAATGACCTGCAGTCTAGAATGTGCAAGGTTTGTTTCTGCTTTTGCTCTGAAAAAAAGTTCTTAACGACGAAGAATCCTTCCATAAAGGAACGCAACAGATACATTCCTTACACAGATGTCAACTTGCATTCAAGGCTACATATAAGCACTACAATAATTATGATTTATGCTCTTACTTTAATTCTCCCTGCCCTCACCAAATATCCAGATCAATCAAGTTAAGTCTGGGTTTGTTTTTTTAAATCCACAAATAATTATTTCCCTGCAGTAAGAAACACAACAATAAACAAACAATGCTATTGTTTTTCATGACATCCAGTTTCACTTTGCCTTTGTGACGAGAAGCAAAATTTGTCTCTCTTTTCCTCCTCTTCTCCTTTATGGAAGTCATCAGTAGACAATAGTATTTTTAAATTTCTGGATTAGTTTTTAGATAATGAGCTGTCATAGGAATATTCTATATCTGAAGAGGAATAGTGAAGACATTTTCAATTGTTTTTCATATGTGTTTGATAGCTCTCTACCACTTAAACGTTTTGAGTACCATTTGCATCCTCTCACACATTTTCTTTTGATGCTACTCTTGCAGGTGGAGGCAGAGAAACATCAAGATGTTGTGGTCTATGATCAGAGCACAAGGGACGTAAATGGGCTGGCAACCGACAGTTTCCTATCCATTCTTCTGGGCAAGCTGGATAGTTGCTTCCACAGTGTCTCCATCCTCACAGGTAAGATTTGGCAGCAGTTGGGGTAGTGGGCTGAATTTTTTTTTTTTTCATATCCTTGAAAGGCAGTAGCTTGTGTCCATGTCAACCCAGACTTTGGTAAAATGGTGGTAGAAAACTGCTGGATATCTTACCTTGCTATTCAGCATGCCCTTGTGTAGGTAGGTAGGGCCATCCAATTTTGTAAAAAGTAATTCTTAAAAACTTTCAGTTGATAGGGGCACAAAAACAAGGAACTAGAATATATAATGCAATAAACATCTAGAATGGAAAAAAAGAACAATGGAGTCATTAAAAAAGAAACAGAGTTCACCAAGGCTAGCCAATGCTTATCTCATTCAGGGTCTTTCTGTCTGGATGAGCTCATCTTGCATTCAAGTCCAATGCCTAGTGAAAGAGCCACATTTCCAGTGTCTTACGGAGGCATGCGAGGGTCAAGGCCAGGGAGTTGGTGGTGTTGCACAGGGAGGTGTGGTAACAGAGAAAGCACACCTGGATCCCACTACATGACACTGTTTCATAGAAGTGACTGAAGCACGCTTTTCTGCTAGGTCTCATGGTCAAGCAGATATAGTTGGAGGCAAGTAGTCCTGCAGAATCATTGAAGGCAGAATGAAATGAAAAATATTACAGTAATCCTCATATAGCACTGCCTTGTTCAGAGAATGTTTGCAGCTATGACAATGATTTTTTTAAAAAGTAGTTTTGTGACCAATCCTAGCGTTTACAACTTTTGCAGGTATATTTGCTTATTGTACCCTATGACTATCATTAAGCGTTGTACCTTATGATTCTTGACGAATGTATTGTACCCTATGACTATCATTAAGTGTTGTACCTTATGATTCTTGACGAATGTATCTTTTCTTTTATGTACACTGAGCGCATTTGCACCAAGACTTGTGTATCCAATCACACTTGGCCAATAAAGAATTCTATTCTATTCTATAAAGCAAAGAAAAGCTAAAGTAAAATCGTAAGGAACAGTCATGGTGTCATTTAACAACTGCTTCATTTAATGGCCAAGTTGCCAGTCCCAGTTGTCACTACACAAGAGCTAACTGTACATGAATGTCCTGGTATGCTTATGACATCTTGGTTAATTTTAGTCAGAGAAGACGCATTGTTGGTCCAAATGATAGTGATAAGGGACAGAGAATCGTTGCATTTTATAATTTATATGGAGCAAACCCTGAATATTTTATTTATATCCCACATTTGCTATTTTTTATTAACATGAAATTTGTTAAATCTGCATTGGTGGGCAAGAGTCTCAACAATTGTCCTTTTGCCATATTGTGGTTTGGTTCTTCATGTATTTTCTTGCTTGTTGTCAAAAAGATAATATTGTCTGAAGTGGAATGTGGCCACTAATAGTAGTTTCCATTCTGAAGCAGGGTGGGGAACCTAATTTTACCATAGTGACAGCTGCCGAGGTGATGTACTATTATGTAAACAGGTTGTCTTGAAGAGGAATTGCATTAAAATTCCAGAGAAAAAGCTTTATGTTCTGCAAAGCCATAGGTTTTTTAAAAAAGTGATGGTTAACTGAGATTAAAGTGGGGATACACGATGATTATTGAGTTCAAAGTATTTTAGTCAGTCTGAAATTTAAATGGTGCAAAAACATGCGATGCATTTTTTCCCAGCGGTATGGAATGTTCAATATGGCAATATCTTTTGGATTATTTCTGCAAGCTCTATATCAGCCTTGAAATTTGGATGTCTGGCCTGGGTTTGCGAAACTGATACGGGTGGAGGGTATCCTGCTTTCTTCTTCTACCACCTTTTGTTAGAAAGGAATTAGTGTTTATTTCAAAAATTATTCTGGAAAATAATAGAAGGTACGGTTTGCTTCATATGTAGGGTTTTCTGATTGTAGTGGTTAATGACATTCATCCTTTTGTGCTTTGAAGCCTATTTTGGTTGAATATTATATTGCTGGAAATACAATATATTATAGTTCTATCATATATGCTACTTTGTCTATATTATACTGTTATATGCTAATACTCTTTTATAGTATATTCTATAACATACTAATGCTACTATATATTATGTACTGTAATATAATAAATAATAGCATTAGTATATTATAGAATATAATATAAAAGAATAATACATAATAGTATAATATATGTACAGTACAATATATTACAGAGAATATTTGTGAAACATTTATAGTATATCTGCATCATTTTTATTCATAGACCTAAATGTACTCCATGCTTAGGTATGTGTGCATGGGTGTCGGGTGGTATGAAATAAAACATGGGAAATTGGCTACCACAGCTTTGACGCCACTGGCTTAAGTCGGACTTGATGGAGTGTGGGTCCATTAACAGGCAGGCCCAATGATTTGATGGGTCTTGAAGTTCAGCTGCAAATACCTCTGAGCTCCCATATCCTGGGGGAGAAATAAAATAAAGGGCAGCTTGAGGGAAAGAATCTACAGCCATGTATCTCAGATTTGGTCATATGATTGTTTACCATTCATCATAGTGAAAAGGGGTGGCATATTTAGGGAAAGATTGTTACCTCCAGGAAGATCTCTTCTAAAATCACCTGGGATAAATTCTTTTTGCCCACTAGAGGGCAGTGTTGCTCATCCACTGGAATCCGTGTGGCCCATGCTAAACAACTGAGCATAATATAATTGTTAACATGAGTAACACGATAACAAATCATTATGTTACATAACAACAAGTCATTATGTCTTGCCATAGTGAACTGGATTCTTTTCTTTCTTTCTTTTCCCTTCTTTGTGTTGCAGCATGTATAAGTGACCCATATGTCACTTGGTGTCAGCTCTGGATACACCAGCACAGCTTCCTTTATGGAGCAGGACATGCACCGTTCAGTTCTTTGGGAGTACTTTGTATATATGGTTTTAGGGACTAGGGTGAAGTCCAGGTAGACCTCTCCTTGTGTGATTCAGCCCTACTTGACTAACTTATTATTTACTGAATGAATGAATGAATGAATGAATGAATGAGTAGGGATTTCTTCCAGCACTCTTAAAATAAAGAGTGGCTTCTTTTTGGAAAGAGAAAAAGAAAGGGTGATGATGGGAATATTAGTGTAATGAACCAGGGTTGGTGAGGACAGTTTAGCCCTTCCACAGCCCATATGGTAAAGTGGCTGTTGTTGTAGTTATAGCCTTTCTGCAGACTGCATTGAACTCTAGTACTAGCAAGCTATGAGCAGGAGGCAAATATGAATGAAATCATCCAAGTGGATAGAGCAAGAGCATTTCCCAGAGGGAAATCAAAGTACTCATTCATTCCATTGATACCTTGATCAAGGTTAGAAGTACATTTTATAGGTTGTTTGGTCTCATTCTTGAATGTGTATAAAGGTAGTCCTTGGGTTACAATGGCAATTGGTATTGGAATAGTTCTCGTTATGTGCCGTGGTTGTAAAGTACAATTGCCACATCACTGAGTAGCTTAGCAATATAAATTCCAACAGTCCCATTTGCCAGCATTAGGCAAGGACTGAAGGGGTCATTAAGCGAGGACCTTACATGATCACAACCTCCTACTTCCTGCTGCCTTCCCCACTGACTTGATGGAAGTCAGCAGGGAACTTTGGAAATTGATTAATGTGATTATGAGGATACTGAGACAGGAAGAACTCTGAGGACCAATTCCTCCTTGTTCAACACCACCACAAATTTGAATGGCCACTGAGTGAGTGGTTATAACTCAAGGACCACACTTCTGAAACAGGAACATTTTTATTTCGTCATCTGCTAGTTGTAGTTCATACTGAGCTGATGATGATGTGATATAGGTCTAGAAAAGCATGAAGTTACTTATGGGCAATTGTTCACTGTGTACATTAATTGGCATTAAATTAAGAATGGTTGGTGTATTCTGTACATGTAAATTGTCTAACCCAGTTTTCTTTCATCTAGAAGCAACCTATTCTGCATAGTTATATCTGTATTAGATTTCTAATTAATACTGTACAGGAAATACAATTATATCATAAAGCAGAGAGTTTATTTGGTATGTATCTTGACAATGGCATAATCAGATTAAAACCAGAATAAATTAATACTGGGCAGGAACTTGGGGAATCTACTGTTCCCTTTTTACTTTGCTGAAAATTAATAACTTTGACCTCTGGCCAGATGGGTTCTATCCATTAACAAATATATTGTTAACGTTTTGAAAAACAATAATTATAATTTTGTTGTAAGTAATGTGTTTAAAAAATCCACAAATTCTACACATTTATAACCCCTACAAAATAAGGACATTTTTTGTCACAGACTGAAATATGCTGTGTTCATTCTTCAGATTATTGTTGGCCAAGAAAAAATAGATGAGTTACAACAATTTGAGGGCAAGCTACAAGGAGATTTTTGTAGATAAGAGTTCCACTGTGTAAATAAGGAAATGAAGAAATAAAGAGAAGTTAGGTTTTTTTTTTTTTTTTTTTTTAAACACCTGTATTTCCCTGTGTGAAGTTTTTCTACCACTTTACTTGCTATTTTCTCTGCTGGCCTGAATTCTAGGATTTTAGTTTTAGAGGGCACAAGTTCAGGAAGTTTGTTCATTTACCTTGACCTTTAGGTGTAATTCTCAGTGAGAGGAATATACATTCAGCTATTTAAGCCATATGCCTGTTGATGGTGCATTACAATTTCTGCTCCATTTCTCACAGCCCTTCATACATACAATTACCTGCTCTATTCATACATTATATTCTTGAAGAAAGCAATCAGTTGCTCAAATTCTATCCAGCTGGTCTTTATAATACTTAGTCCTGCTGGGAGTTAGGTTTAGTTAAAGGAGTCCCCCCCCCCATTTCTGTTCAACTATCTGTAGGAAATCATTAAACAAAATACCATCTTTTTTTCTGTCTCCTACAGAATCATTGACATCTCATTTGCAGCCCCTCTGTGGCTTGAAAATAACAATGTTCTGTCGGAATTTACTGAATTCACATTCTGCTAAGCGCATCATCAAAATGAGCTACTCACCATTTCCCAA